AAAGATCTTTGAATTTTCTTTAAGAAACAATAAATCATGAACTGTATCAGGATCTAATTGATTTCTCTTATTAGTAACTGTATTACCAGCAGTTGAAAAAACCCTTTCTGAAGGAACTGATATAGCTGAGAAGGCCAAGTATTTTCTTGCTTGTTAAGAAAGAAGAGAAAACATTGCTTTACGTTCATTCCACCAAATTAACGGATTAACTTTACGATATTCTTCATCCGTTATATAATATTTAGAAATTTGAGGTAAACTATCATAAAGTGTTACTTCTTTTTCAATTAATGATATGTTTTCAAATTTATTTTGAATAACGTAATTATCTTCATAAAAAGAAAAAAAAAAGAAGAGGAATTAGTGTTTAAAAATTGGGGTTCTTGAATAAAAGTAGATCATCCCTGTGTATCAAATAAAAAATAAAGGTGAGCAATGGTTTCTCTTTTTTTACTAGCTGTTACATAATTCATTTGTTTGAATCTTGGATCCAAAAAGGCAGCTATTAGACTATAAGACGATAGTTCAAACCACCTTGACAGCATTGATTGGTTAATTTTATTGCAACAGGTTTTTACTGTTTGTGAAGTAATTGTGGGATAAAATTCTCTTAAATGATGTGAGAGCTTAATAAGAGTAGGAATCATCATTCTCAAAGTGGGATATTGGCTTCCTCTAATATATCTAGTTGCCTGCGCGAAAGGATGTAAAAGTTTTGCTAATTCATCTATTGAATTCCATTCTTTTGTTGATAGGAGAAGGTCAGAAAGTTTTGTTCTATCTTGTCATTCTTGTCTATTAATATTTTGTTTTAAGTTATTAGCCAATCTTACAATGAAGAAAAAGATTTTTTAAAAGGTTATAAGTTGAACTCTAACAAGTTCTTGTATCACTTGAAAAAGGATTAACTTGGTGCTGCAGATTTAATTCAGCTTGTAATTTACGAAGGCTTTTATAGTATTTATCTTTACCACTGACATAACTATTTAATGTTTTTGCTTTACTTATTAAGTTTCTAACTTCTATAACATCAAATCAATCTCCTAATGCAAGTTGTATTATATATGCGGTACAACCTAGATGAGAATTAAATTTTGTATAAAGGTTGAACTCCGTTTTACTGGAATTTACATAAATAGAATTAAGAATTATCACTGTTTTTGAATTAGTGCGATTATTGAATTTTGTGATTCTCACGAATCCCACTATCGCCATTGCTAAAGCAATGATGATATATAAGATTTGTGAAATTCACAAATTCAATAATCGTACTAATTCAAAAACAGTGATAATTCTTGTAAGGTGATTTTATCTACCTATATGCTCAATGCCAAGTTGATCCATGGCTTTAATCATTGAAGAGGCATTATCTATTGAAGCACCTAAAAGTTCTTATATATTCCTCATTTGTCAAAAAGTTGATGACAAAAATCTTCAATTCGATCTCCAGTGTGAGAGTAATCAAATTTTTGAATTGTAAGTAATGCTTGGTATAAATTAAATTCAGGACTGATCCAATAAATGGTTACAGCAATATAAGGTTGGTGTATTTGAGACCAGAGGTCTGTTATAAAACAAAAAGAACTCATTGTTGTTTGTAGTAGTTCCTTAAGCTGTTGTTCAGCAAAAAGTACAGACTGCATTAATTTTTCATTTAATTTTTTATAGCAGGGGAACTCAAACCTTGGCTCACATTCAAGAATCATATTACGAAAGCAATTATTTGTAGTAGCATTAAATGGTTAAAGATCATTGATGATTCATGCTAAAATATGATTTGTAATTTTATCTTGCTTTGAAGTAGGTAAGGGTGTTTTTTTATTTATAAAATTGTATAATGATGGTTGGTTAGAGGCTATTTAGTTGATTGATTCTGATTATTTTCTTCAGAAGGCAAAATTATGTGAATTTGACGAAGGTGAGCTTTTAAATTACCTGTTTCAGTTGATAATTCGTAGTCATTACTACACTCTTTTTCTAACCATCCTTATCTGTGATTATAATTTTGCAATGTATTTTTTTCAATTTTATTTTGCCTAAAATAAGGCCACACCTAACTTTCTTTCAGATTTGGTCTTTTGGAATAAGTAAAAGTTCTTTTTTTCGAACTCTTTTACCTAAACTATTAGTAACAGTAACTCCACTTGATGGAGGTTGATCAGGAGAACTCAAACCTGATTCAGAATCTAGGTTATATACATTTTCTGATATATTAGATGTATTTAATTCGTTTAACTCATTTGATTCATTTAATTTATCTTCATTAGGCCAACTTAAAGTATCACTATTGTAAGAACTAAGCTGATAAGAATCATGTATTGACATTTACTAGTGTAGTTTCTATTTAAACAATAAGTATATTGAAGTTTTAAGGTCTTTTCTTTTATTTATATATAATTTTTACTGTTTATATTGCATTACTTTTTTCTTTTTTTTTTAATAACTGAAATTTTATTATTCAAATTTGAGTTAGAGATAAAATTTCAACAATAGAATTATGCATGTAACTGTTATTCTTTGGAGAATTATCGACCAAATTTATGTATCAATCAGTTTCGTACATTTTGATCTATCATTGATAATTCAAGATCTTGATAATTTTGATAAATCTGAAGTCTCTCACTGCGAGGATTTCAAATCATCAAAATTGAATCACTAGATCAAGAGTTATCAATGATAGATCAAAATGTACAAATTTGATTGAAACATGAATTTGGTCAACAAAATCCATAGCAGTTTGGCAATAAACTGATATTGCATATAGTATGAAGGTTATTTTTTTAAGATCTAATTAACTAGTATTTCAGAGTGACCACCAAGAGTACGGGCACATGATAAGATGCCACATCTATATATGAAAACTTCACAGCAATAAAGCTGCATACAGGAGCTAGACAATTTAATAATTTTCTATAATATAGCATCTTATCATGTGCCTATAGTTCTGGTGATTGTCTTAGTGCACTTCTAATTAACCTTTACCAAAGAATAACTATTGTGTATATTGTATGCAACTGCTAAATGAACAAAAAAAACTAGTTCATTTTCTACCAACAATAGCATCGAATTCAAACAATAGCAGTGTATACAATTTTGTATATATGTATCTATTTATTAATATTCATGAGTTTATATTGTATTAACTTTAGCCTTATAGATATGTTTAAATTATATCTGAAAAAAAAATATTTTAGTAGGTATTTCGGAATTGATTGTATTTTGATGAAAGAGCTAAATAATTTCAGCAAGTATGAAAAGTAAATAATTCGACAATTATGAAAGACTAATTCTAGCTATATGCTATAATAATTTTTATTAAAATGGATAATTTAGGGACATATATGTATTTAGCCTAAAAATTCGATAAAGAATCTGTACCGAATTTACTTTATGCTTGTGAACAGAATAATTGAATACCATTACAGCTTTTTCATAAATTCAGGGACATCGGGCAAAAAATTAACCAACTGAATATTTGCTGATTTAATAAGTTTCGATTCAGCAATTATCATTACCGAAATCACAAACTTATCAAATTAGCAAATATTCGGCAGTTAATTTTTTGCTAGATATCCCAAAATTTATGAAAATAGCTGTAAGTGAAAACCAAGAAGCTTGAATATTGATTTTATTAGTTAATTTGGATTTTCTAGCTTTCTCTTGGTGACAATTGCAAGGTATGATCATTAAAAATCTTTAATTTTAGCTTCATAATTATTGTATTTATATTAATGTTAAAAGATAATTTCGTTAAATGACTTTATAATAATATCAACAGTCTATATATAATAATATAACTATCAGGCAGCTATAATAATATAGACATTCTATAATAATATTAACTTAGATCTTTTGAAATACTATGCGAAAATATCAAAAAATTACATCATGCTGTCTGCTACATAATTTAGACATCACACATAGAAATTAGATCTTTATTGAGAATTTTAATTTAGTGAAGGATAAATTATATATTTTATTAAAGCCAGTTAAAATTCTGGATAATTCTAATAAATTATCGTATAGGCAAAAATTTCCAGTTTTCATATATATACAAGTTTTTTAAACAAATTATATGCAAGATTTGAGATTAAAAGTGATATTTTAAATTTTTTATGAGTTATCAGTTTTTTATATAGTTTACTTTATAGGTTTTGGAGTATGACAACTTAGTGTAGTTGGTAAGTTGTCACACCTCAAGCAGCAGAACAAAAGTTTGAATCCCACTAGCGATGAAATTCGAATTTGCAAAAATGCGTTACAATAAAACTGTATGATATATTGATCAGGTAAGCACTTGTGACTTTGGTCTCACCAACTTGTATTGAAAGGTTGTGAAATATAATATAATACATGAGTTACATGAAACCCAAGTGAAGCAGCCAAATAAATCCAAGGAATCAAAGGATACAGAAGCCTGCTTGGGAAGTCCTGAGTAGAGAGGTAGCACAGATCTTTGACAGTGCAATGTAAAGGATTATCATCTAAGTAATCAGACACTGAAAGCAAACTAAATGAGGACCGAGTGTTTGGCAAGCACTACACCAACCAGACCACCAGACTAACTGGAGGAAAAAGATTCATTCGGAATACCATGAAACACTCACTGGTCCCTCTTAGGCTATCTGAATTAGAAGTTTAAATCACTGATGGTTAGCATTGAAGTACTGTTAATAGTCCGTAAAGTGGGTGCTGGGGTTTGAGTGAACTTTGCAAGAGCACAGAGTAAGTAACATAACAGAGGTAAAAAGCTGCAAGTATTTGGTTGCAGCTTAGGTGTAAGTTATCGAAAATCTAGATAATATATGTGTGAGATATGGACTGCTTTAGTAGGTTTATCACAAGGATAAAGTAGTCCTAAGGGGCCTTAGTGACAGTTCCTCCTTGAGGAGAATATCTGACAGCACTAAGTTGATTAGAGGGTTTAATTAGGTAACTTAAATAATAGTAGATTATAGATATGACATCTAGTATAGTTCATATAGGTTATATATGCAAGATTGCTTAAATAGACAACCAAAAGTTGTATATATGGCTAGTATATATCCTTGTTAATGTAACAAAGTCAGGAGTAGCCCATATGGTTGCCCTGACATTTGATCCAAAGTTTAATAAAATGTGCCAGACTCCAAGGTGGTCATCTTAACATTAAAAAAAAATACTTTATAGGTTTTTAAATAATTTACGAGCTCTTATCAGTTTTTATATAATTACTTTATAGTAATTTAGATCATTATATTTAATTTAATAATCACAATGTAAATTTTTGCTTATATATATTAGAGTTTGAGATTTTTGATAATTTTAAAATTTGTTAATAAAAATAAATTAATTAATAATTTTGGCTTATAAATACATAGAATAGACCAAATTTTAGTAATATAAGCTGTAGTATTCTGAAAGTATTCTGAAATATTCTGAAAGTATTCTGAAATATTCTGAAAGTAGACTATTAGCACTTAGCTATTAGCTAGCCACTTAGCTGATAATTTGGTCAGCTGGCTAAGCCAGCTGACCAAAACCTTATAGCTTAAATCACTAGTAAATCTAAAGTCAATGCATACAGAAGCTTACTTGGCAAGACCTGAATAGAGAAGTAGCACAGATCTTTGACAGTATTATATAAAGGATTATTCACCAAGAAATTATATAACCAAATAAGACTGAAGTATTTGGCAAGGCACTCCACCAACCTGGCCACCAGAGAGTAATCCGAGAATAACCAGAGGAAAAGGACCTAACTGTATCGAGTTTCTATCCATTATCCGTTTATCCATTTATCTACTAGATATCCAGATCTGAATTTATTCAGATACCTGTTTTACTATTGATATTCGAATAATTATCTGAATATTTGTCAGATTATCTAGATATCAATAATAAATGGATATCCGGATAAATTCAGATATAGATAAATAGATAACAGATTTATCCAGATTGGAACTCTATAACTGTAGAGACCAAGAGCAGATTACAGCCTTTCCAGGCCATCTGGATTGGAAGTTTGGGATGACAGATATATAGAGGATAGACTGTATAGTGGATGTTAGGATTTGGATGAACTCTATAAGGTGGTAGTAGGTAACAATAGCGGCTTCAGCTCGCAAGTACTTGTTCTCAGACTTGGTATAAGTTATTGAAAGTTTAGATCAGCTGAATTTGTGAATACAGAAGACTTTAGCAGGTTTACTTCGAGGATAAAGAGTTTAATAGGAGCCTGCTTTAAAGTTCTAAGTCAGGTATCTGAAAATAAGGGGATACTATGTATTCTCACTTGATTAGATAATTAATGTATATAGGCACAGAGGGTTTAAATAGATAACTTAGTTTGGGTTTCCTCTTTCCCCTCTATAACTAATGGTAGCTAGTCTTAAATTAGTTTATAAATAAAAAATTAAGAGGTGTTTTGCTACACTTAGGTGGTTATACAAGATATAA